CTAATATAAAATCATTGGCAATAGCCACGTGTACTTTTAATATCTATTAATTTAGAACAAATATCTGTTAATTTTAATAAACATATATCCTTATAGAAACGATATTGTGTTGCTACCAACACCATCTATCTAATATAAAACCATTCAGAATTACATATTAAAAAGCCACGTGTACTTTTAATATCTATTAATTTCTATTAATTTATAAACATAAATCCTCATAGCAACGATATTGTATCACAAAATATCCCTCGTTTCCAGGGAATATTGGGCTCCGGTTTCGCGTTGAAGGTGCAGCAAAAGCAACGGCAGAAACACTTCAATAGGCAGATACCGGCCGCGGCAATGTTGATACAATGCCTGTGGAGGTGTTACGCCGCCGACAAAGCCATCAACAGCGTGGCCACGTGGAACATTTACATCAAGGATCCAGCACCGACCGGACAACCCTCAACACCGTTGGGAAAGGTAAGGTTTCTCTTGCCTAAGTGTTTTTCTTTCCCTCTTTCCGAGTTCAATGGCAGTAGCTAATAATAACGATAGCCGTTGATTGTTGTTGTTTCTAGTTGCTTTTTTTACGATGTTCCTCGGCCGTCTTATTCAAAATCGATCATTTATATATATTCTTTGCGCCGGGTTCCTTCTCGTTTCTCTCGACGATGGAACGTTTATATAGGATACGTCGAGATTGCAGGATTGTTTGGTTGTTTTTTTTTTTTTTTCCGTTGAACAGATCATGGTGGATGTTACTGTAAAACTTTGTGGTATTTGTTTTTTTTTTTTGTGGAATTAATTTGGTTATTGGTTGTTGTGTCGTTGAGGAAAGGGTGTGTTGTTTGATTAAAGATGTGAGAGGATTTGGGAGATAGTCTTTAAGTTAAATTCGCTTGGTAAATTTATGGACATGGGGTGAATAACAATCTTGTATGATGTTTTTTAATTCTTTTTTAATTCTGTCTATCTTCTTCAATTTGATTTGGGCCAAAATTAAATGAGAAAATTTAGAAGAGGGATATTAAGTAAGTTTGGTCGAATCAGGTTTGAATTGGATTTCGATTTTTAAATTAGATTCATAATCAATGAGGTGTGAGATTCTTTCTTTAAATAATTCCAAGATTTTCATTCGTTTATTTTAATAATATTTGTCTAGTTGGCGTGTCTGAGAGTTATTTTTATAATCATTTTTCTATTTTTCTAATTTGAAATATAAAAGATCAAAGATAAACACGTATTATTAGGATCGAAATTTGAATATTGTTATTATTATTTTATAAAAATAGTTATTTTTTTTTAAATTTTCAATTCTCAAAGATTAACAGTTTTACAGTAACGTTTATACTAATCTGTTTCAACAATAGGAAAATTATCGAGTTGATTCTAATCTTTGTGATTTTTCTCTGTCGTACGTGTTTGTCTCGTTTGATCTCGGTAAATTTACTCAAAATTTATACTTAATAATTTTAATCCGTTTTCTGTGTAATAAAACTACTTATTCAAACATTTTCCCATCTCAGTTTACTATTTATAGGATTATAAATTACCGAGATTATTCGAGTCAGTGCATAAAAGATGCTTTTAAAATGGCGTTGGAAATTTTAGATGGAAGAATTATTTTATTCCAAGCGCAATCTCTATTGAATTTCTTGTATCAAATACAAGACTTTTAAATTTTCCATGATGATAATTCGTGTTTTCAAAAAATTTTTCTTAAAAAAATTGAGTATATAGAAAATTTATTGAATTTTGTAAAAATTATTATTAAAATTAACTAAACTAAATAAATATTTAAAAAAAATCTTTTTTAATATCCAGTTAAATAAATAAATAAAAATTAATAATTAATTTTAATAAAACGATATATATTTTCCTAAAAAAGTTTAATAGAATTGATATCTATATACAATACAAATCAACCATAATATTGTTTGAAACTTAAGAAATTTCTAGTTATGTTTCCACGTTTTTCGTCACACCCTGTATAATAACGATATAATTTAATAATATTCAAAAGCAAAAACGATTCGTATCGAAATGCAATAATTCCTTGTAAAAGATTAAAACTAATTTCACGACGCCATTTTAAAGACGAATCTGCTTACATCGAAGTTCTTTGAATTTAAATTTAGCATCGAAGATGATAGATTATTTCAATGCGAAGCTACTTGTCGATAGAAATCTAGAAAATCCGCGAATTAAATCCGAAGAAATATACAATTAAAAAGAATGATTAAAAGAAAAAGTTACTACGAAATCCTGTATATCATTGCTAATCACAGGACTTCGATCTATATCCCTCGTTGAAAGTGATGCAGACAAATAATTTGGCAGTGGATGGATGTAAGCCAGTGTTTTCCAACATGGGGCGTTTTGATTAGAAATATTTAAAATTACATACTGCCCTCTCGTTAAGTGGAATATTATTTTATTCGTATCCTCGAAACATACGAGAAAACTTAAAAATCAAAACGTTAGAAACGGAACTTTCGCGAGAAACATTTCGTCGAGAAAGTTAAAGATAAAGATTCTGAATTAACCTAACCTCAATCTTTCCAACTTGGTTTCGAAGGTAGAGGGCGCGTGTTTCAAATATATCTTGAATCATAATAGAGTGTTTAAATAAAATAAATTAAATTTTAATGTAATAATAATCATTATGCCAGAATAGAAAAAGGTGAAAAAGGTTGGAAAACATTGATTCTAAGCAGAGAATGTGAATTCTGTTCTGTGTTTTCAATGTGCCGCTCTAATATCCGAAATATAACTTACAATTTGAATATTGCTAGTGATTATTCGTGGTGTTGATGCAGTTTCGAATTATGCTTGGAAGCTTTTTGTATCATTAACGTTTTTGTTTTTCTCCTTCTTCTTCTTTTCTTCTTTCGTGTCACGGCACGAAACGAAGATTCTTCGCTTTTCTATTCGTTTTCTCGGTTGCGTTTTTAAAGAATTATTGATTTCCAATATGGAGGATCGTTTGTCTCTTCACTTCCGTTTGCTCGATAAATTTTCGAATCGCGATGCAATTTGCGATGTAATCGAATTGGGGATGGTGTTTTGACTGAGAGAAAAAAAAGTGGAAATTTTTCTTTTTGGCGGAAAATCAACTTTTCGAATGGTTGATACAACAATTTAATAAATTGACGAAAGAAAATTTTCTTTTTTTGTAATTTAGAATCGTACGAAATATTTATTTTTATCCTATTTGTGAAAAGTTTTGTGAAAATTTTGAAACAAATTTTTAATCAATTTGAAAATATAGGAAATATTATTTTTTCGAGATCTTAAAATTATATTATTTCTCTTAATTGAAATTCTGAAATATGACAATGTAAAATTTTATAAAATGCAATTTCAGAAAAATTTTTATAACCAAAGTATAAAAATTTTCTTCATTCCTTCAAAAGTTCGAAATAAAATATCAAGATTATGATGTTTCTTTTCTTAAGATGTACAAACAAATTAATCCAAATTTTTTGCATTCTTTATAGAAAAAAAAAAAAAAATATATATCAAAGGTTAAATATTTTTTCGTTCAGAAAAACTATCTTTTTTATCGCAAAAAAATTTTCTCGTTCGATTACACCGCGAATGAAAATCCTGCAATTTTTTTTTACTATCAAATATATTATTATTTAAACGAATGCTTAGTTAAGTTTATTTTAAATTTTTCTCTTTAACAGTGTATCACATTTCATCGGAAATTTGTGAAAGTTAAAGGCATCGATTAATCATTTTTATTTTTCCACGAACAGTTTCTTTCGCAGAAACTTGCTTTCAAAACTTCTATACTTGTATACTTGTTATGCAAATCGCTTCTCGCATCCTTCTATTAAAAAAAAAAAAAGAAACGTTCGAATCAAATGATCGACATGACTCAAATGACGAAATTATCATTGTACTTGTGTTGAAATAATAAACTGAAAGAAACGAATGTATAAAAATATATGTGTGTAAAGAAAAAATTTCTCTCTCGCAATGCATTCGTATTTCAGTCATTTCTTTCGATGTTCCTCCATCTACTTTCCAAAAGTGCATCGCGATTTAATTGCAAACTAATTCTTTCTTCTCTTCTTCAACGTTTCACCGATTTAGAGCAATTCAATTTATTTCTCGCTTGGAAAATTTCGTTCGCCGATATTTTTGCCGAATTATTATCCTATCTTTTTTCTTTTCTTTCCTTTCCTTTCCTTTTTCTTTTTTGCTAATCTGCTAATCGAATGCTCGCAAGCAAAAAAAAAAAAAAAGGTATGAAATTGTAAAAAAAAGAGAGAAAAATTTATTTCAAATAAATTTGCATACGTAAAGAAAAATACGTGGGAAGAAAATTTTGAATATTTCAAATCTATCGATTCGAAATTTTCAAAAGTAAATTTATCGGCACATGGAGATACTACATGAGAAAAAAAAAAAGAGAGAGAGAGAAAAAAAATACACAAAGAGAAATCTCACTCGTCGGTATCTCTCTCAGCATCTGCTGACCAAAAAAAAAATTCTCGCGTGTTATATCTCCATTGTCCTTGCTATTTCTTCTTTCCCTTTCATACGCCCGTCTATCTATTTATCTATCTATATAATTTACTCTAAATTATAATAATATATATATATAATTCCCGTTCATCGCATCATCATGCATATATTTAAGAAAAAAAAAAAAAAAAAAAAAAAAAGAAAAGAAAAAAGACAACATCTCCATCTCTTTTGATTACGATATATATAAAATGTACCTGTAATATATTTCAGTTGATTTGTGTAAAGAAGATGGTATGTAAAGGCTATTTAGATTTATTTCAATTTTTTAATCTTTTGCATGTTTTCTTTATTTATCGATTATTATTATTATTATTATTATTATTATTATTATTATTATCATTATTATTATTATTATCATTATTATCATTATTATTATTATCATTATAATTATTATTATTATTATTATTATTATTATTATTATTCACGTGATTTCTTTGTCACGTAAAAATATAGAACGGGAAGGGGCGGGTTTTCAACACACGAGTCTGTTTCGAAGTAATACGAAATTTATCCGACGCTCGATCAATTTTTCAAATCGCTTCTAACTTTCGAATAAATGTTGACAAACATATTTTTTTGAGGGGGGGAGGGGCGTCTCTTGAGATAATTTTTCGATTCTTCTTTTTTCTTTTCTTTCCCTCCTCCCACGTATCGGACAATTTTTTTTTATCTTTAATCGAATAAGCAAAAGTATCCTGAGCTATTATAGAGTTTCGAAAAAAAAAAAAAAAAAAAGAAAAGAAAAGAAAAAGTGCAGGTTCGAATGAATGTTGGAAATTTTATTTTCGAAACAATTATCATTGTGTATCATATCATCGCACGGAATAAGGTAATAAATATTCGGCCATTTTATAAAGGAATATATCTGAACGTAGCTTATTGGATACTTTTGCAATCATCGTGGTCGATCGTGTTCACGACTGATTAAAAAAAAATCAACAAAATCGAATCCGATTTTTATAGCAATTAAATAAGCTTCGAAGCAATTTGCATTGATTAAATCGATAATAAAATAATAGAAAGTAAAACGTTGTGAAATTGTTACAAAAAAAAAAAAAAAGAAAAATAGAAAAAGAATAAAATCCAAGAAGGTATGATGAATTGGCGAATGTAGAATTCCGCGGAAGGACTCGTTTATTCGACATACAATACGTGCAATATAACAACTTATTGCTCCTTTTTACATGTATCTATATTATATATTTTCTATTCTATCTATCTATCTCTCTTTCTCTCTCTTTCTCTACTGCACATACGAAGCTTCGTCTCGTCACTTGAATTTTTCTGAAAGGAAGTAACTATGATCGTGTGTCATGCAATGTGATCCAATTGTGTTTGTCGTGCATGCGCCTGCGTATCTATCTCTTCGCGCGTGTATCGTATCTTCAGTAAGCAATATGTTGCGTGTCGCTTTAACACGTACAGGGTGTTGAGAAAAAGTCGAGGATATATATTTATTGTTGAAAGTTGCTTGTTGAGATAGATGGTTGTATAGATTCGCCTTGATTCGTGTGTTTGTGTATTTTTTTTCTTTTTTTTTTTTTTTTTTTTAAGAAATACATTTTCATTTCAACGATTTTTATTTCTGCTGTGTTTGTGCGTATTTATATCATTCTTATCTCGTTTATTAAGGCTTATTAAGCGCTTAACGTTTTTGGCCGTTGATTTGATAAATTTTTCCTTATGCTTTTTTTTTATTACACGCGCGAACGTGAAAATTGGCGGCAAAATTAAATCGAGTAGATTGGAAATTTGTAATTTTTTATAAATAAGAAACGCTTAATTATTTAGAAGCTTCGATGTTGGTTATTTATTTCGTGTTTGTCGTATACTTTTATTCGACCCTCGCTCCTTTGAATTTTTTCTTTTCTATTTTGTTATCTCAATTGCGCTTCAACAAATGTGATTATAATAAATTAAATTAATCTATCTTTAAGGGAATATATGTACGTACCTTTTTTATTATTTTTTTAAACATATTTCGAATATAATAATGCGATTATAATAATTCTTTTTTTTATCGAAAATTGATATAACATTAGTTTGGTAGAGGAATGGAGATGAAAGTGGTTATATAAAGTGTTGGAGATAAAAAAATTGTTAGGCTCATTTAATTTTCACGCTTTCTCCGGATCATTAATCATTATATTCTTGATATTGTTGACATCCTGTACGTACAATCTGAATCGACGATGACGTCGGCTGAAACGATTCTGCTTGAAACGTTTCGAAAAATAAATTGTAACTTCGATTGATTAATCGATGTAAGCATTTCTTTTTTTTTTTTTCCAACAAAATTTCCTTTTAAAATTAAATTCTTCCCTTTTCAATTTTAACTTACGATTCTCGTTAGTTTACAATTCGTTCTAAATTAATATTCCACAGCGTTGCACAATCTTCAATTGGAAATCATCAAAAAAAAAAAAAAATTTACCCTCAAAAACTTTTAAATTTTCAAACCGAAGATTTAATTTCCTCCCGCGTAAATGATTCGCGAATTTATGTTATATGGAACGTAACGTGATGAAAAGCCACATTTCAACTAATCAAAATTCATTATACTCACAATTTCCGCAATCGAGAAACCGCAATTCGATTGGTCGTAACTCAAACTAACAACTCGAACCAGTTTAAAACCGCATTTCAATTGATCCGAATTTACACACAGTTCCCTTTTATTTCCACGGCTGACCACGTATTAAATTATATACGTATAATATAATAACGAGATATTTTAAAAAATCTCGTCCCAATCGTTACAATCGTACGTGTCGTTACGAGGAGAGATGTCGTGCGAGGGCAGAGTCGTTTCACCGTCGTTTCACTCGGTATATACATACACGTGTCGCCATTTTATTTTAGCATCGGCCTGCAAATGCAAAAAGGCGAACGCCTCCTCGGAGAACGAGAATTTACGCTCGTCGGCTGTTTCCGCTACCGTCCCCTCCCTACCGATTGTTTCCTCGATCTTGATGCGAAATATTTACCCAGTTTTCGCGCTGTCGAGTGGAAGATGTCGTTTAAAAGCGCGACGATACTTCTTAACTTGTTTAACTTTTCATTCGTTTTTTTTTTATTTTTCTTATTATAACTTCTTGTATTTGTATTTTTTTACTCTTACGCGTTTTTTCATGTACATTCGAAAAGTTATTTACGTGGAATATAATGGTTGGGATAAAATCTTTTTTTTCTTTTTTATTGATTTCCTGTATTTGTATTCTTGTTCGTTTTCCAATCGTGAATGAAGAGTTAATATCTATTTATAATCTCTTATTTTGATACTTTTTTTTTTTTCGATTTCTTGTATTCGTGTCTCGTATTTCTCTATTTTTAAGTATTTGGAATCTTGAATATAATAGTTTAGACTCGAACCTAACCTCTTTTCACTTTTTTCTCGAATTCTGTTTCGTTCTTGTTTAATCCCAATGTATAAATTATATCCTTTTTTTATTATAAATCAAAATTAAAAACATTTAAAAATTCAAATACGAATTGATTAAAGTAAAATATCAAACGTGGAAATATCACGATTCTTAGCTTATAATAATATTCTATGTAATACTGTTATATAAAATGTAATAGTTTAGACTCGAACCTAACCTCTTTTCACCACCTTTTTTCTCAAATTCCGTTTTATTTTGGATTCTTATTTAACGCCAACATATAAAATATAGTATTATATAGAATATAATAGTTTAGACTCGAACCTAACCTCTTTTCATTTTTTTCTCGAATTCTGTTTCATTCTCGATTCTTGTTTAATCCCGACATATAAATTACATTCTTTTATCAAATACGAATTAATTAGAATAAAATATCAAACGTGTTATTCGAACATCGAAATATATCATCACCCTTATATCGGAAAAATAATCAGATATTAATCGAAATTTTTTACTCGAATACAGCAGTTACGTGCAGAATCATAAAACTTTCTTCATAAAGGTTTCACGAGCCGACGAAGCTACGTTGATTACAGGGATTTGATGAACTCGCTTTCCAAATTTCCTTTCCGGAATCTTTCTTAAGCGCTTAAAAGGCTGAAATGTGACGTTAACCGTGACTTTATGTTGCCAACCTCAAATACCACAATTTGAAAACTGATAGTGACCCACTTTTGTCATCACGGGAACTCGTTTCGTAGCCGTGGACGATTGCGGACGTGTTTGTGGAAAAAAAAAAAAAAAATTCGATAAACCTGAAAAGCAAAGGAACGAATTCACCCTCTTGTTTCATCTTTACCGGTACGGTAAACAATTCGTTTCCTCCACTTTCTTTTTCCTCGAAAATTCCATATTTCCATTAATTAATTTCTAAAAATTTAGCAAAACTTCTTTTTTAATTACTTTTTTCCGTTCGCTTGGTTTCTAGAGAGTTGTAATTAGATTTTTTAACGAAGAAAGATTTTTTTTTTGTAACAGAAAAACATCAAAAGCAGAGGTAATTACGCGTGAAATTATTCAATGTGAAATTAATTTCCTATCTAGAAAGCAACGAAATTTTCTAATACTAAAAGATTATTTTTAATCCTCTAAAAATACGTATATGATACATTGGATAATTATCAGAAACGATTTATGTATCGATACATATATATATATTTGGTTTTTTCTTTTTAAAGTTGTTCACTATCGCAAATGTTCCATGTTGTTTCCTCCTATTCCCGATTTAATTATTTGAACGTTCAGCAATCGATGGAATAAAGTTGGAAACGACGAGTGACATTGTTAAATGTAGATTGTATCATTTTGGAATAATATTCCCACATTTAGCCAGTGGCATACCCTTATCAAGGTATCAGTGTGTATCATCGTCGGTAATAATCAGAGACGAGTATAGAGATTCATATTAATCACGTTGATACTGAAATTGCAAGGATCATCCAATTCAATCGAATGGTACGAATCCTCGTCTACTTTCTCTGTGTATCTCAAATACACGGTTGTTCGAATAACATGTTTAATCGTGATCGAATTTCAAAAAGACTATTGCACAGAGAATATTAAAAAGAAGATCGATTATTTAGAATTATAGAAATATGGATATAATCGTTCTTCTCTTTCTTCTTTTTAAATATACATTGACAAGCAAATTGTGAGAAATTCACACTTTCAAATCTTAGTTTCGATTCGAAAATAAACGTAAAAGTTGATGTACAAAAATATCGATCGAGGTGTATCGATTAAATTACAAGCAATATAAGTTTACGTCGATGAAGAGAGGCTACACCGTTGCACTCCATTCCCGCCTCGCTTCGTCTAATTCAATCTGCTTGAATTGCTTATAACTTGATAAATAAGTCTCGACCAGCATTTTTACAGATCAACTTTCATTTTAACTTCAACATAGAATCAAGTATTAAACGTCTATGATAATAAATAAATCCTAAAGTTAAAATTTCTATCGTAACAGACACGAATAACAAGATGAGAATATTCAGAATACGAGAGAATCCTTACCCGTATAATATCAGCCGGCCCGAGCCTAAGTTCTCAAGCGCACAGATGTTACCTCTATTGGCAAGAATAGGAAGCTTTTTCAGATGGATCCATGGCCGAGCTGTGGTGCTCGCTAGTAGGGATAGTGCATGTTGTGTTCGACGTGTGTTGTAATGGGAGGGCACCGGGGGTTCAGTCTCTGATGATCCAGGTGGCAAAGAAGGCGAGCGTGCTGAAGAGGCGTAAATCGAGGAATCGGATGGACGTGCAACAACAGCAGCAACAGTCGTTGCCGCCGGTCACGATATCTGGTGGCGTGTCGAGCGGTGGCGCCACCGGCGACCAGAACGACAATCAAAGGATGGAGAACGAGGGAGACGTTATCTTCTACATGGAGGAACCGAAAGCGGGCACGCCTAATCGTGCTAGACGCGATAATCGGTGAGTGGAGATCGATTTGTATAATTTTTCCTTAATCTCTTAAGGATCCGATTATTTCATTAAGTAAATTTTATTTATAATCGAAAAGCTAACGCGGGTGCTAATGATTGATGGGTTAAGCTTGATGATTAAACGAGAGAGATTGATTAAATTAGAAACTAGAGACGAATTGTTTGATTAGAGTTGAAAGAAGGAAAGAATATATTTGGGTTGTTGAATCGTGACGATTTTTAGATAGATTATTGAAAGTTTGGAATCTCACTAATGTATAGCTTGAAATTTGAGAATTGGAACATTTTGAGGTTAGAATGTTGTTAGTGCAGAAGATACTTTTTTTAAAGTACTTTGAGTGTACGTTTAATTGAGATAATTTTTTAAGTTGTCGTTTAATTAAATTATAATAGACGCAAATTAAGTAAATAAATTACGTTATTATTCGTATGTATGTACACATTCTACTTTCACTCCTATAATTTAGCTGCTTAATTTTGTAATTAATTTTGTAATTCGTTCCAGAGAGGGAAGCTTAAAAGCCGACTGACGCGCAACATAAATTTGACATTAAATGTAACTCGGTAGCTTTTAATTAATAATAATTTTAATAATTTGCATAATTCAATATTTAAAATTCTTTGCAAAAAAAGAAGGAAAAACACAATTTTAGATTCTAATGCATCTTTCAGAACCTCTTCGTATGAAACAAAAGATTTTCGAAATTACTTCGAATACGATTATACACTACTATCAGAAAATTTCGTTTATCAATTTTGAATGGGAAATACCAAAGTTAGAGCATAATAAGTGTGCGTTGTGAAGAAAATGGGTGAAAACCTTTGGAAATTTCGCAGTGAAATAATAGATAGATCGGGGAAAGTTGGCGTGACAGGAAATGTCAGCCGGCTGAAGGGCACTTTCTCTGGAGCGGCTTTGAACGTCGTACGAACTAGTTTCTCGAGTTTGGTAGTGTGAGTAGCGTATTTCCGGTTGGCAGGGGAAGCCTCTTCACCTCGCAGACGAGCTCCGTCACGGAGGCTACCAGCGACGAAATCGACATTGATATCGAGGAACCGCAAAGGGTTACCACGTAAGTACGCTTCTTCCTTATGCCATCTCGTGCGGATTTTCGCGCGGAAATATACGTGGAGAACGTTTTAAGGAGGAAGTAGAGGGAGACGACTTGTGAGTTCTATCTATATTGAAAAAATAGTTTGGATAGTTATTTTTTTTTTTTTTTTTTTGATATTTAAAATACGTTCTAAAAGAAAGAAGCTGAGAATATGTTAAAGGCACAAATTGAAAAATAGATTGAGTAGCTTACTTAGCGTATTACTTGAAGTATTTTTTAAAATTTGAAATAAATTTGCACAAATTGCTAATGTATCGAGTATTTTTTAAAAATTTCAGTGAATAATTGTTTACACGATTTTATCAGCTTATTAAAAAAAAGCTATTCAAATACAACATGCTTTAAAAATAATTTTTAAAATAATTTAGAGAACTTATAAAGAATTTTAACTAAGATTCTCAGATTATGTAATAGAAAATTTTTCATGAGGTTCAAAAATAGTAGTTATCGTTCGATTATTTTTCGTTCGCGCATCGATAACAAACAACGTGGAAAATCAAAGTGTTGAGCAGTGAATCGTCTGTATCTTTATGCAAATTAGTTTCATTTTGCATGCGGGATCGATATTAACCGAAGAATTTTCGTCCGGCACGTACGTACGGGGTCTCTACTGTGATACAACGCTCGAAATGGGTGGAAACAGCGATTCGATTCAACTGGATCTCGTTAGTGTTAAACGCGCTACGATTCATAGCCTCCACGTTCGATCGATCTTAAATTCACCGCAAAGGAAATACGTAAAATGTGCGGCTAGCAGAAATTTGAATTGCGGTCGAGGATTGCTGTTGAAATGCATAGTGATAACGGTAGCCTTTATGGACAGATAAAAAGGATTTTCGAATAAGGATATTCTTACTTTTTTAATTTCAAACTTTTCTCACGGTCGATTTAATTTTAATACTCGATCGATATTTTATTCTCGTTGCTTCGATCACATTCCGTAAAAATTTCTCTTCGGCTCTGTTCGTCAAAAATCGGTCACGATCGAGCTCCTCCCTATTTTCATTAATGATCCGAGGAAAGCCGAGCGCACCCGATCCTTGCCGAAGTCACGCGAAGTCGAATTATCCGCTCGATCGAACGCTAAAGAATCGATTAATCGGCTGTTTCGACATACGTACCGATCTCGCCCGAATTTTTCCGAAGTTGTCCGACTCCCCGATTGCAGCAGCCTATTTATCTACGTTTAACCAAACCTTTTTTTCACGTTACAAAGAAATTATATTATTAGAAACGATGCTCGACGAACGTGTAAAATCAACGATCGTGTAAAAAAGCGAATCTATGAGAAGCAAAATCTCTCGAACTCGTGGCATTGACATTTCGAGGAAGTCTCCATTCTCAAAAGCGGAACGGAACGTTATCTCGCTCTCCTGAAAAAAGCTCTTCTTCTCCTTCTCTCGTCTGTCTCTTCCACTTCTCCCCTCCTCTTCTCCCTCGAGAAAGCACCGTACGTAAGTGCTTTTTTCACCGGTGCATTACTCCGCTTCACGGACGGCCTACATCCTTTGCTAGTCTACCACTCGAACCTCCGACACAAAGACAAGTCGCGTTTCGAAGTTTCTCTGTTTTCTATCCGCGTTCTTCTCGCGGTCTCTCGACTCGCTGCATCTCTCTCTCTCTCTCTCTCTCTCTCATCGCATCCTCTTTTTTTCTCCTTTTTTTTTCTCTGCTTTCCTTCGTTTCGAAGCGCGAGCTTTCCAACAGCTTTGCCGTTGAAACGTGAAATCGTTTGTGAAAATAGCCGACTGGGTTTTTCGCCCAGCCACTCCAATTTTTTCCCGTGAATTAAGAATTTGCGCGACACATTTGTGAATGAAGAATTGAAGAAAAACACCGAGCCGTTTAGAAGAATGTGGAAGGAAGGGAGGGAAGAGAGAGGAAGGAAGGAAGATCTCGTTCTAAATTCTTTCTATTGAAGCGCGGCCACACGGATGTTTCTCTTATTATTTGCAATAAGATCCCGGAAGCGTGATTAATTTCTGGATTGATGAAGTGACGTTGAGGGAGTTTTTTCAGAAATTATCTTATATATTTTTTCAATTTTTTTTATAATAAATCTCCTCCACTAAGGATTTTTTTCTTTTTTTATCTCGAGTAGAAATATGTTGACCATGCTTTTCGCGGAAAAGGATGGAATCTGTAAAATTTTCGAAAATTTGATATTCGATTCGAAATTGCAAGAAGAACCGCTTCGACTAATGCGTACTTTTTTTTTCCAAGAAAGAAAATGTATAAAAAAAAAAGAATCTGGCAAATATTACTCGAGAATAAGAGATGTTGGAATATCAATTGTTCGAGATCATTGTTAGATAACGCGAAATCTTTCTCGTGTTCCATTTTACGCTCCTCATGGATGTTTGCTCGCGGTAAAGCAACGTTGAAATCGTAAACAACGGATGAACGGCGGCCACTTTCCCCCGTAAACGTCTCTGTGAAAAGCGGATTGGTACACGCGTGTCGCGCCACAGCGGCAGCTACTTGAACCGACGGCGAAGCGTGTTTGCGTATAATTTGGTATATCGACAGGCGATGTTAGAGGCGAACGATCAATAGCCGTTTTCTCTTGAGCCAATAATTATTTTACGATAATATTGGTCGTGAAACGCGACGATAAAAACAAATACAACTTCTCTCTTCTTTTGTTTCCTTTCTTTTTCTTTTTATCTCTACTTATCGATCGAAACTTTTTTCGTAAAAAAGGAAAAATTTTTTAAATTTTCTCTCTCTCTCTCTCTCGCTCTCGAAATTTTAAAATAGAAGGGAATTTCGAGCGACAAATATTATTTATTATTGTCGGAGCAAAGAATATATTAATACGCGAAACAACTTCGCGCTCGTTGTCGAGGCGAATTCACTAAAAATAGGGTCGCTGTTATTTTCAGGCTGACGGAGGCGCATCGAAACGCCATAAGGGCGATCAGGAAGATCAAGTATTTCGTGGCCAGAAGGAAGTTCCAGCAGGCGCGGAAACCGTACGATGTGCGTGATGTGATCGAGCAGTACAGCCAAGGCCACTTGAACATGATGGTTCGAATCAAGGTGAGCGGCGATCCGTCTGCCCGACCGTTCACCGACCTCTTCCACTTACCGACGCGTTCACCTGCCCGATAAACGTCCGATCCCCACCACTTGTCGCACGATCGATCTATATCATCTACTTATTTCGTTTTCTCGTCTTCGTACAGAGACAATTTGTTGTTGAATTATGGAACAGTATAACGATGAAAATTAAAAATTCAAGATTGCACCTACGATTGATAGCAAGATGTCTATCATCCAAAGATTGAGAGGGAGGATTGAGAGGGAATCCTTCCTTCTCCCCTTTACGAATATTAATGTTTACATGTTTGCACACGTTTGCGTATCAAATATCTTATCTGGATAAAGAATCAAAGGGAAATACTTTCCAAATGTAAATCCTGGTTTAATAATAATTTCCTAGAATCAACTGCTCGCGAAATCAAACACGAATTTAAAAAAAAAAAAAGAAAGAAAGAAAATCAACGTAACTCGAAATATTTCACGGATAAAACAAATCGTCAATCGACTTCCGATATTACTCGTCGTTATTCGTGATAATGCGCGTCGATTCGCTCCGAGGAAAAGAAGAAAAAAAAAAATAGAGAAATAAAAAAGAGTAGGAACAAAAGGAGAAGGAAAATCGGTCATCGAGGCGAGTAACGTTTAACATTTCGCGATAGAACGCGCTGTGAAAGACAATGGCGGCCTGTGTTTGTATCGTTTCTCATCGGGGGAAATGCAGATTGCGCGTCGTCGACAATTATTGCATCGCTGTCAATCGCCGAGTAAAGCCAATGTCTGAACAATAGACGTTGCCAATAGGCCAAGGGTCTCAAGCGATCGAGGGACCAAGATGCAATTATATTTCAGGGGATAATCTTCTCATCATCATCTTATTTTCGTGTTTTTAGATTAAATCGTTGATATGTCGGTTAAATTGTGGATAAAAATGGTTTATTGTTAACAAGTTAGTTCTAAGACGATCAGAGGCAAAGTTCGTACGTTAATGAAGGTTTATCATTAAATCGAGGAGGTTCTGTCAAAAACGATATTGTCGCAGCATCCTATGTTCATTAATATTCATAACAATTGGGTTAAGATTTGGGAGTGAGTTGGGAGTTGTCGGAAAGGAGGATCATCTTGCTTTTGAAGATTCAATTTTATGGGAATTTTCGATCCACCGCGAAATTTTCTAAGAATTCCCCGAGAAATGTTTCGTGAAAGAGTTTAACAAATTTTGAAATGAAAATTTTATCGTCATTGAACGAATCGATTTGGTGAGATGATACATTTTTGATTATTGCAATGCATTGTTCAATTAGGAAGGCACGTTTGTCCAAATCTAGGTTTAATTATTTTAGAAGGTCGCGATAAATAATCCTGTTCGAATCCCAGGAAATGCACAATAGCGCGCATTACTATTACATTATCCGGAACATTGCTGTTCAACTAGGAATTGTTTGGCCAAATTCAACGACTAATCCACGCTCTATGCCACGAAATATGATGCAACAATTTCCATTAAACAAAATGTGAACACACAATTGTCTCGACAATTAATATCTCGATATGAAAAATTGAAAATGAACATTTTTTTTATCATTCATCGCGTGGAAATTTCAATTAATTTGAGGAAAAGATCCGAAAATTAAATGCATTGTTATTCAAGACGCGTGTTCACGAAAATTTGTTCACGATAATTTTTTTCCAACCTTGAAAACGGTTCGCCGGAAACGAGCGAGAAGTGGCGCGATTATTCAAATCGAAACCATCGATCGTGCTGATCCAATGTGCATAGAAAGATATTATTTGTTCGAGTTGTACTGTTTCGAATGGGGATCAGCCTTTATTATTGCACGGTGCGTTCAGAAAATCGATAACATCCTCAAAGCCTTCCGTGCTAACCACGTTGAAACGACGTTTCCCTCTTCTCATAATTCACAACTTTATGGTGTAAAGTCGATTCATTATATCATCGTGATAGGCTAATAATAGTTTCCAGTGAAACTCTAGAGAAACGTCGATTTGTTATATTATCGAATTGATATTATTAGCTCGAGATATATAAATGTAATGTCAAGTGGTTTCGCAGTTTCTTGAAATCTATCAGGAATGCAATTCTGTGAAATGCTCGAATGGGTGTTTCTTGGGAATTTTTCCGAAATTTAATATTAATTTTTTAAAAAAACAAAAATCGATGCAAAATATTTAATTGCGAAGAATTATCGATATTACCTTATTCAGAACACCGAAACAGAAGGTTTAAATGTGTGTTCGTGTTTTCTAAATTTAATCGATTGAATTTTTTTAATTAGTTATTTTTTTAAGTCTCGCAAAAAAATTACAACATAATATTTTTTATCTCTTATACAAATACTTCTCTGAAGAGTTTAACGATTTAAAAAAAAAGAAAGAAAAGAGAAAGGCTTTGGTCGATTTCAAAAAGATGAATTAAATCTAATCTTTGAATAATCCAAAAAAAAAAAAAATGAAATTGCAAAAGTTGCTTCGAATTTAAAAATTAACCAAGTAATCTAAACTTTCGAACTAAAATTTCTAAATAAAATGTAATATTTCTCGATCGAATGTAATTTTATCCTCAACAAACATTGAAATCTCTTGTCAACCTGTATCAATATTAATTTATCATCGACGTTGAACAAGTTCGCGCTTATTTATCGTTACTTGTTGCCCGTGAAATGGAATTAATTAACAAAGCTAATTAAACGATGCCTCGACACAATTAATTTCGTCCCTTCGATAATGCATCGACGTTTAATGTTGTTTTTCGATCAACGGATAATGAACAAGATAATGCAATATTCGCGCACGAAAATTGGCTACGCTATGCAATCCAATTAAACGTTTCTCGCGTCTCAGCGTGCATGCGTACGTAGATGGAACGTTCCTCTGCGAAACGAGTCGTAAGTTGCAGTTGAATCGTCGAATTATTAAATCTAATTGATTTGGATCCACGACTAAACGTGTTTCGATAGTGGAAAATGTGGAAAACAACGAAATGTATATAACGAATCAAAATTTAAACCTCATCGAAAGAATTTGAGATGAATTCGAGAGAGAAATTGGAAAATTTGTAAAATTTAAATCTTATGATTTATGCATGAAATTAAATACAATGGAAATGTTTAACGATAAAAATAGTCGAAGAAAATTTATATTTTATAGTTACTTAATCCAACTTGAATTGTTGGCAGTGAATATTAAATTCCTGTTAGAATTTCAGACTGCTGCAGAAATCTAATTTTCCTTTGAAATAAAATTATGTAATGTAGCTCGAAAAAGATCTCGAGAACTGCTTCATTATTTCTTTCGCGATTCTAAAAATGTAATATGAAACAATTCTCAATATATATATACACACGTTGTAAATATAACGTTCCAGGTAATAAAATTGAAAAAAAGGAAACCGCTTATTTCTATTTAACTCTGCGCCACGTTATCTCGTTAAGCGTTTAACCTGCGCCTTTTCACAGGAGTTGCAGAGGAGATTGGACCAGACCCTGGGCAAACCGGGCAGCTACCTAGCAGGAATCGACCGAGCAGGGAACGTGAAGCCAATGACTATAGGCGCACGCTTATACAGGGTCGAGCAGCAGGTGAGTTCACGACCTTTCTTCCAGCTCCATGTCATTTCTAATACTCGTTATTTTTTTTTTTTTTTTTTCAATAATGAAAATTTTCTTTCACTCCCATTTTACGAACATTTATAGATAGCGATGGGATAAAGTATAAATTCAATCGTAAAATTTTGAACGTTCCTTTTTTTTTCATTGATATTTTAAAAAGCGATAGTTTTAATTTAAATTGGACACGAGATTCTGATCGAACGTTGATTAAATGGATTCGAATTTTTTTGATGAATACTCGTTATTAGTGAAAATATGTAAATATTTGAGATCGCGAATTCGGAACAGTTCGGGAAACATCGGGAGGGATCGGCTGAGATTCGGCAAAGATCGGGTACGGTCGGTTTTTCGTCGTACGAAGTAAGCGATATAATAGATTTTTCCATCTTTGCAGAAACTTATTCTGTCGTAATAAAATAGAATTTTATGAAATGAATCTTTGATATTAGATTTGACTTGGATTTGAAAATACACAAAAAAACTTAATCCTATCGCTACGATTATAAGTGGACGAATGTAATGAGAGGAATATAATTCTCAATTCGATGAAAGTCTGCATAGCTTTGTGCTCGAGCATTCGGTTTCAATTCGATCGGATTAACGCGGATAGAATTGATCCCCAATGGCAGAGATTAAAAAATTAATGTTAAATTATCAATATATACGTATCTGTGGTCTAGAAAACATAATAAGCATATTATTGAAATGATTTATTAAATTGCCTTTAAATTATTAGATCATTGAGATTAATCATGCAATTTGAAATATCTATTATCAACTCTTTGTCGAATCATATTACATTTCATATAACACATAACACGTTCTCTGTAAAGCACGTTATTACGATTATTATTCCTTTCAAATTCATCAAGCACACACAAATTCATTAACACACTTTACTACAATATAATTATATAAAGATTACAAACTTCATATCAGAAATTAATACGATTGTAATTATTGTAAAAATTAATACGATTAATAATATTTATAGATTATTATATATATATTATATAATCTATATACACTTTCGTAACAAATTTTAATCTTAATTTTATTTAAAAAATTCGGAACAAAAACGCAAATACAACTTTTCCTATTTATTTTTCTCCAACAAACTGTCTGGATAAACTCCATTATTAACTTTCCGTTCCCAATTTTCGAAATAAAATCTTCAAATGAGAAAAAAAAGTGGAAAAAACGAAAAAGAACGAAAAAATAAGAGAAACGAGAGAAAGTGAAAAGAAAAATATCTCTCTGTCCAGAGAGCAGAGATTCTTGTATCCGCAGGGACGAGCGAGAAGATTGATTCTCACATGGAAACTATTTCTGTCCGCAGTTGTCCGTGATGGACAAGAAATTGGACCAGCTGGTCTACGTGCTGAACGCGGTGGCACAAAAGCAACAAATACCCCTGAGGAGTATAGAGGACGACGTGTAACAGAAAGCCCCCGGCGAGCTCGTGCCATCTATTTCGCGATCACCGGCAATTCCATGGACTTTGCCTCGTGTTACCATAACCAACGTCGCGGCGAATATGTTAAGCAAAAGCGGTTGAATCCGCGATCGGCCTCGTGCGCTCGGCCGCAAATGCAGGGATCTTTCTTACTTACGCGTACATAGATAAAAGTAACGTTCGATAAAAACTGGAGATACTGGACGATTTTTGTTCTCGACGATTGTTTTATATTTGTTATTTATGGATTTCTTATTGCTATTTTGATTGTCGATTGAATATATTGGATGAAATACAGGTTGAAGAAATGGATAAACAGTTCGGGAGATTTTTTGAAGATTGAATTTTGAAGAATTTTGAGATGTGTATGAAGATTTGAATTGGAGAGATTTTGTAAGAAGAAGGAAAAATTTTGGAAATGACGAATGTTGAAAAATATCTGAAGAAATGATGAATCGATAAAAATTTGGAAGATTTCTGGGAAAAGTAACGTGTGAAAAAGTAACACGAAAGATTTAAAAAAGAATTTGAAAGAAGTGACGAATTGAGAAAAATTTGGAAAAGTTTTGAGAGAAGTGACGAATTCTGGAGAATTTTAGAAAATATCGGAAAAAATTATAAATTGAAAAGAATTTTTGAAAATGAATTGTGGAGAAGTTAGAGAAATATCAACGAAAAATTCATAAATAATTTTCAAAGATATTGAAAGAAGCAACGAATCATGAAAACGAAAGAAAATGATGGATAAAACGAAGATAAAAGTTTAAGATAGATTTAACAAAAATGAAATAAATGGAAAAGAAGAGCTCATTTAATGAATGAGCAGTTATTGGATGAGGATCGATAATTAAGAATTTATAACGAATAAAAAAGAAGAATAATTAATTGTTTAAAATTGTTTAAAAGATTTGGTTAACATCAAGAACTTAACGAAAGTTAAAAATTTGGAAACTTATAGAAATTCTATAATTTTATAATTTACATCTATTTTTAAATAATATGAAATCTCACCGAAAATTTGAACTTTATACGAAAATATCCAAAGGATTACAAAAAAAAATAATCTTTATTTTCTGCATAAACTTGGAATCAAGAATGAATCAAATATCCAATTTTTAAATTATTAAAATATTTAATTCAATTATCATAAAAAAATGAATAAAAAAATAGTACCTGAACATTCAAAGCAAAGGATCTACAGATAATCAGAAAATCGTCCAACATACAGAAACTCCTTTACGCAAAGAAACCAAACTAAAAAAAGGAACAAAAAAAAAAAATCAAAAATATAAAAAAAAAATTTTTCTTTGACATTGTTCGTACCTCGTCGTAAAGAAAAGAAAAGGAAAAGAAAAATTAGAAAGTAAAAGAAAGATTCGTAAAATCCTCCAATCTAGAGGGCGCTTATCTCCGGGAAGAAATCGACCTAGATTCTACAAAGGAATCTGGCGGGAGCAAAGCTCACTTTAAACGTCGTCGCTTAGTTATACTTCCTCTACTGATACTGATCAGTGGTCCTCGGAGAATAGTCCTTCACAAAATCGATCACGCTAAACGCACAGGAACGATTGTTCTCTTCGAACAAAATTGGGAATCGAAACGTTGGAAGAATATAAAGTTGAATAATAAATTGAAAATAAAAATAATATTAATAATAATAATAAACGAAGAACGAAGGAAAATATATTCACCATGATCGATCGTGAGTTCTCGATATATAACCAAGAGAGATCGATGTTTTTGGACGATTTAAAAGTAAACGCATCGAAAGATCGATCGATAAAAAGGTGTTTATATGGTAGAATGGTAGATAAGAGACGGTCGGTAATGAAGAATTTGTTCCGAAAGAGCAGCTTAGGTACGCGAGATGCAATGGATGCAAACGTATTGGGAACATCACTTGGGCCAACTAGGAATAATAGAGAGGAACAATAAGCAAATATAAAGAAAAACTTCCTAGACGAGATATATCTCTATAGGCTATACATAATATTATTATATATATATATATATATATATACACATACATACAGATAAAATTTCTAGTCTTTGCTGGTAATAACGATCAATTATTAAGCCTTAAAATTAATCACGAACTTTGAACATCTTGTTGCTAATCTAGTTAGAAAGGAATCGAAATACATATATGTATAACTGCGTGTATCAACGGGTACACGTATTGTACAAATACACGGTATCGACTTCTATATATACATACTTTGCTAGAAAAAACGTTTTTCTTTTTTTTCCTCTCTCTCTCTC